ATATATATATATATAACCAAAATAGCGGAATGAGATCATCATCTACTAAAAAGTGCTCAATAGCAGGGCTAGAGCCATGGATAATAATACCTCAAGGTTTAGGTTACTTGAACTTTTACTGCAGTAAAAGTTCAAGTAACCTAAACCTTGAGGTATTATTATCCATGGCTCTAGCCCTGCTATTGAGCACTTTTTAGTAGATGATGATCTCATTCCGCTATTTTGGTTATATATATACATACAAGAGATCAGAAATCAGACACACCTATCATAAAGACATAGATTGGAAGTTTCCAGTGAATAGCTGCCAGAATAATCAAGGCATCCAAAGCACTTCCAATAGATGCTGTTATCATGGGTCCCTTTCTTCCCCTTTTGTCTGACCATGAACCAAGGAAACAAGCCGTAAAGATAGCAGGGAGCGTCAGTGCCATGCTCACATATAAGATGTACTGAGAGGCTTTTTTGTGTACTTTATCATCAATGCTGCAAATTGTAAAAAAGTAAAGAGAAAATAACTATTGATAATATTTTATATCTAAAAGAAGAAAAATTTAATTTTAACTGCCAAAGAAAGAAATTGAACAAGTAAAGAAATGATCCTTGCAGGTGAACTGTAATTTTAGTGAAAAAGTCCAGGCCTCAACCAGATTCAAACATGTGGCTCCTTTACACTAGCTGGATGCAACCACACAATAGGAGCAGGGCAAATTTTTTTGGGTTTTTTTATCCCATAGAAAAGAAAAGGCCATGTAAAATTTTTCTCATGAGGTATTTCCCACTGTCTTTAACATTGTTCTCTAATAACAGCCACTAAATAAAAGCATAACTCATCCCTGAGTCTCTGGCAAAGACAATTGCCCCCCTCCCACTGTACCAGAGGCGACAGGGAAGATTAATCCATGTCTAGGGGAAGAGAAGAGTGGGACAATGATTCAAATGATAGATTACCAGTACTATCTTCCTCACCGCACTAGGATTTAATCATACTGAGCCCTCAAAAAACATTTTGTTTTCCTCCTTCACTGACAAAGATGGATTTGCACTATTGGTCCAATACTGATCCTATCAAGATCTTCTAATAATTGTGACAAAGTAACAATATTTAATGAAATCACACAGGAATTGCCTGTAGTATCATGTACTTACCTGTGTTCAGAACTATTATCGTAACGAGGATTACAGATAGTGTCTTTGTCATCTTCCCCAGGTGCTTTCAGGTCTTCCCTGGCTCTGTCATATAAATACTGTTGTATAACTGGGATTTCCAAAATTATACCAGTCAGATAAAGGAAAATGACTATTTCCACAGTCAAGGACCTGTGAGGATTGTTCCTCCATGAAATTGGCTGGTGGTTGCTGAATGTTCTTGTTGTACCATTTGGGGTATCTTCTATTTCATCAACAGTAACAGGCTCCTAGAAAAAAATACAAAACAAAACAGATAGAAACATAAAATAATCCCTACTGAGCTAATTCAGTAAGAAATGTGACGTCCTCTGGTTTGTGCGCTGGACTCTGGATCAAGATATCCTGGTTTATACTCTGGCTGCATCGCTGTGTTGCATTCCTTGGAAGGACCCTTTCTTCTCATACGGTGTGTCTCTCAATCTACCCTCCCCCCCCCCCCCCCATGGGGTGAGGGGAACCATTCAGAGAACCATTCAGAGAAACTTGCAGAATTGCTTAATGGAAAAGGGGAAGAAAATCACCATGGAAACTAGTCTCTTGTATGGCTTTTTCTGTAAGGCTTTATACTCTTTACCTCAGGGGTAGCATGGGGGTGTGGTGTAATTTAAGGAGAGGGGCAATAATTCCATCATTGAACGCCAAGGCAAACATAATTTGCATTAGTGTTGCCTATAAAAGCGACAGTCGCGTTGAGCTACCTCCAATGCATAAACCTTATATTTCTAATGTTCCTGAATATCTTAAATTGCTTAAACTTTTCTCATCACTACTCGTGTCTGCAGCAGCAAATTATTCATCCCTTTTCGGGTTAAGCCCGGTTGACACGGAAACTTCCGATTTCACAATAATCGTTTCACTTTCCAGTAGTGATCTTCAAATTTAAAATTAACCTCAGCGCGCAAACCACATATGTCAACTTATACATAAACGGTTTTTTTGTACGAAGTTGCAAATACTTTGAACGGTTACTTTTCCAGAAGCTATTACACTGTGCACGACTAGCCAGCTAATCGAGTTTACGCACACCAGTGTTACAAGTTTGCACTGCATGATCAAGGGTTAAGTGACAAGCAAACTTGGTCGACCATCGAATGTAGAAGAAAGTGAAAAAAAAAAAAGCTTCAAATGTATTTAAAATTTGAAATACCCACCTCACCCGACATCATGAAATAGGCGAAACAGGTGACAATTTTAGAACATTCTGTAGCAAGATACGGAAGATAAATTCTAAAACACCAATGCGACTCTTCAGGAATTCTTACACGATTGAATTTTCTCCACGAACTAGTTCCCAGTCACGTGCCGAGTTCCTTGACTTAAGACAACATCAAACAGGGAAGGAGGAATAATATGAACCTATGTACTAAGACACACTCTAGTCTGCATCGTAGTAAGGACCGTATTGAAAAATTGACAGCCCAGTATGAGTGAACAACTCCCGTTGAGCCACCCTTTTGATCGTGAGGAGGAGACTTCCTTACAACAACTATTTACTGCATTTTGTAATCACCTGACTCTGGGTCAATGGGAACTTGCTCGAGTGTGTTTGCGAGGCTTGTTCAAACAGCGCCACAAGCTCGACAAACCTTTGAAAGAGATTCTGAGGGCGATCATTGATCAACCACATCATGCAAGGTAACGAAACTCGTACTTTGGAGCCCGGGAAGCTTTGAACAGAAGTATCGTGGTCGTGTATCAGTTGACAATGATATTTATACTCTTACATTTAAATCTGTCAGTGGATCTGTGTACTGAGACGGTAATTGTGAATGCCTTCACGTTCTTAAACATCTTTTATTTCACTTTTATGAAATTCTCACAAAATGCCATTTATCTGTGGATATTTAAAGAACTTAATAATATTTTGAAGGAATTTTTATTATTTATGATATTCCACAGTTCATAACTCCCCTCCCCTACCCCTTCGATAGGTTGCTTTGGGTACTTTGGTTTGTTGCCGTAATGGTATAGGGTTATACAGTGATAATCTTATTTGGCTAACCTAGCTTAACTGAGTAATCAGTGAGTTTGCTTTAGTCCCGACATTTTCTATGAAATCCTTTAACCCAGCATCTAATTTCTAAGTCAGTAACTAATTTCTCCTTATAATATCCCCCCTGAATCACACATTTAGATCACAAGATTGAAGGAAACCATCACAAACCAAAGATGCTCATGATTGTTAAACAAATTCTCCTTTCCAGCACCTTAGAAATATATAGAGAACACTATGGAGAATACCCATGCTGCTGTTAGGGTGCAGAGAATTAATGTGACAACTAGACAGTCAGTGATTGACATTGATAATCATAATTATAAGATCTGGTAGTCACTCTTTCCCTTCCAAATCAAGGGATTTAATGCAGTTTGCAGAACTAACAGATATTGAATTTTGCATACCATAATTATTTCTTTGAATAAGTGCCCAGTCTCTAATTAGCACCCTCCCCGAGAAAGAGCCCACTCTCTAGGCCATGCTATCAAACAAGTACCCCTCTCAAATAAATGCCCCCCTTCCCTTTCCTCACTTTCTTGTTTGAATTGCAGGATCACTTAATTTATAACTTTTTTAAGCTTCAACCACAATGGGATCTGAGCACTGATGTTATAGTTTCCTAATAAGTGTTCCCCTAAATTATGTGCCCTCCTTATGAATGAAGCATCCTCCTCTAATGGAAATTTTGAATAAAACCCTGGGTGCTTATTCAAGGAAAAGCTGTATTATATATTAATCACTCTTACTAATTACTTTCTTGTCAGTTATGGATCTTGGTCTGTTCCATCTCCATTCCATTTATCATGGTTATGTTTGGTGGAGTATTTGGATCTTTTTACTGATGAAGAGGTAAGTGTTTTTGTCTGACTTGCATGTACTTATACATTTACTTTATTTTCTTTTCTAGCTTTTTTATCGTCTCATTTAGTTAATTAATGTTAGAGGTGTCAAATGGTATAGTTTACCTTGAAAAACTGTCCCTGAGTAAGAGGATTCTTAAGGAAAATATATGTCATAACAATTCAAAAATCATTAAAATCTGACTTTTGAACTATTGTTTTCTGATTAATATGCAACACAGGACCAGATTCCAGAGCCTATTGTCAAGAAAGTGGAATTTCGTCTTCTTCTCCACTTTGCTTGTCGGCATGCCCCTCAAGTTGTGATTCAGGTAATTAAACTTTCACAACTGTTTAGTTTTAGATGACCTTATTACTACTCATACATGTAGTTGAAACAATTACTATTTTTATCGATAATTACAAGAGATTGTGAAAAGTCTATCTAAGTCTCTTGGACTTGTGGAAAAAGTGGTTTTGTTTTTGCAGGTGACAATACTCTTGTATTCACTTCATTTGCCACTCATGTTTCAGAATCTGAAATTCTTGACGAATTATTTTACAACTTTCTAAATTGTTCCAGAAAATATGCACAACCCCATCAAAGCTGTAAATGGTGTCTGGGTTGACTGACTCAATATCCTCTGGAAATTTTAGATTTTGTGTATGGGTTATCAATAAAAGCCCATTACCAGTGGTCTACTGCTTCTTGTAAGACTTCTGAAACTGCCTTCTGTTTAGCCTGTGAGCAGGCTCTTGTGTCAAATTTCCCCTTACAGCTCAGTTGCCTATTATACCATTGAATAAAGGCTGATAGTTTCGAAAGAAACTGTTTGGGGCTGCATCGGTGGGAGTAACGAAATAATTTGGATATATCAACAAAGTTGAAATGGTAAATTGGCCACCGTAATGATTACAAAAGCTGACATTTCAAGCGTTAGCCATTCGTTGGAGCAAATAGAGGAATTGTGGGTTGTGTGGGCTTTTAAAGGCAGAAAAAGGAGCTACGTTATTGGTGGGAACATGGCAACGAGAAAATCAAGAATAAATTAGTGGAATGAAAAGCGTTCATTGATCCCTGTGGGATTTAGACTGCCGGTTTGAAAGATGAGCTTTTGTTCAAGATTTTTACGGCTTTCTGTGCTACCTAAGTGTAAGGAAAGACCACAGATTTCCATATGCGGTCTTTCCTTACACTTAGGTAGCACTTCTGCCTTTAAAAGCACACACAACCCACAATTCCTCTATTCGCTCCAACAAAGGGCTAACACTCGAAATGTCAGCTTTTGTAATTGTTACGGTGGCCAATTTACCATTTCAACTTTGTTGATATATCCAAATTATTATACCATTGGCAGCCATGCACTTACAGAAATATTTAGTAAAACCCCTTTTTGTGACTTCCTTCATTTTGAGGTGAAGTTGGCTGATGGTGACAGTATGGTGAAGTCCATAAGGGGGTATAACTCTTGAAATTAGGGAACCCTGAAAAAATGCTGGTGGGAGGTGAGTTGTAGGGTTGATGCTTAAGAACCCTTGCAGGGTTTTCTTGCACTGCTTCACTTCTAAAGACACAGCTTGAATGACAGCCTGCTTATTGTCAAGGTTAATTTCATTGTAAACAATTTACTACACAGTGTTATGCGCATGTAAGAGAAAATTTCAAACCGGCAGGCACCACAGGGTTACCCGCTACCACCTGTAAAAAAAAAAACTGTTATATGCAGTTGATTGTGGAAAAATAAATAGCTGTTTTCATTAATTTGCAGGATATAGATGATTACCACAGCCAAATTGTTTACAGAGATCCCGACCTGTTTGCCTCTGGAGTGTCTGACCTTCCTTCTTCCACATTGTCCTACTTGAAACAGCTCTTATCTGAAAGTCCTCAATTTGGGCAGGCTTTGATTAATGACCTCACCTCCAAAGGGAAGGGCTTTTTGAAAAATAATCAGCTGTTGCAACAGTTGTATTTAGACCTTATCAACGAGCAACTGATGGCCTTAGACTCTGAGGCTGTGGAAGTCGATGGTTTAAGTTGCTCTTCTGTCTCTGAGAATGACAGCTCTGTAAAGTGTGCCACCAAACAATGTAAATTCATCTATCAAATGCTTGCTTACATGGACCCAAGTCCTGAAATGCTGAGCCTTTCCAAGTGTCTGGATGATCTTTTCAGGGACCTCATAACTCGAAGTGCAAATAGAAAAGACAGTGTCTTAGACAGAGGCACTTTATACTCCTGCTTTCTCAGCCAGTCGTCAACTTATTTGATTGAAAAGTTTTGTTTCATTGAAAATCAGATGCGGTTTGTAATTAGTAATCTTCCTGAGTTGCCATTGTCAAGAACAATGCCACAAAGATTCAAACAACCACCTACGTTAGATGGTCTCTCTGTTCATGTTTGTTATGCCCAATCCTTTATGGAAGATAGGAGAGAAGCCTGGAAATTTCTGTTCTTCCATGCTCTCAATGGAAATCATATCTTGGAGAACATAGTGGTAAGAAGATATCCATTTTATATTAAATACACTGTTGGTATGAACCTGTTGGGGAATTATTCAAGAGATGTTTTTACTTATTCTGTTTTTTAGTTATTTTTTGTTAAGGATTGATTTTATAGGTGACATGTTAGCACAATGGGACTTGAAATGAGCACATAAAAACATTGTTATTATCATCATCATCATCATCATCATCATCATCATCATTATTATTGTTATATTCTGGGTGTTAATAGGGGTACTGTAAGTAAGTGGTAAGCATGCTGGCCTGTGAGTAAAATGATTATGCCATGTAGCCTACTATTTTTTGCTAGCCTTAATGTGACACTTTAGTATATTCTAATAATTATTGTGGAAATGAAGAAATTGTTCTTGATACAAATGGCACCATGTTTTCAATATGTTGCAGGAAACAGCTCTTGTCTTCATTAGAGAAAGTGATTTTGCCAAGCTGACACAGCTTCTGTCTCCTGTGGAGTTTTCCAGACTCAAGCCACTTGTTCTTCTCTTGGGCTGGCCTTTTTGCTACAGCTGTGAAAATGCCAAAAATCTACTGGAAGCTCTCTGGAATCCAATGGTAAGCTTTGGCTGCACCTCGTGAGTCCACAACATTTTGACCACTGTGATAACGAATATCATTGTCGATAAGAGTACACACCATTTGAAGCCACTGTCGATTTGTTTTTTACCACAATATTTACGTCAAATAGAACGATTCTTTCTGTGCGTCACACGCTGCGTGACACATTGACGCAAGCAACGTTGTATGTACTCTTATCGACAACGGCAAATTGGCCAATCAGATTGCGACATTGTCGTCAAATTTGGTAAAATGTAGGAATAAAAGTGGTCTCCATATGCTATGGTTTAATGAGATAAGCTCTAGAGCTCCACTGATGTGGCACACTTGGCACGCTTGCATACAGTGTATGTCAGAGCCATTTTGATATATCTGCAATGATCTGTGCACAGCCGAGGAGCTTAAAATCAACTCTTATTTTCCCTTGGATTTTAGGAAAAAGCTGCCCATCCGTCGCTTCACCAAGCCTGTCAGAAACTGGCTTATCAAGTCCAACTGGTTCAGTGGTGTACAGAAAAAGCTCGGTAAGGGCAAAGGGAGGGTGAAGTTTAGAGTGTTTGCTGCATCATACCTTGTGCTGTGCAAAGGGAGGGTGAATTTTAGAGTGTTTGCTGTATCTCACCTTGTGCTGTACAAAGGGAGGGTGAAGTTTAGAGTGTTTGCAGTATCATACCTTGTGCTGTACAAAGGGAGAGTGAATTTTAGAGTGTTTGCTGTATCATACCTTGTGCTTTACAAAGAGCTTGACTTGCAGTAGTTTTCTTTAACCCTTAAGAGTGACTGGCTTCTAATTTCTCCTTACAATGTCAGCCCTGAATCGCAGATTAAGTTTATGAGAAGAAAGGAAATGATCACCAACTAAAGAAACTCTGGAGTGTTAAACAAGTTCTCCCCTTCAGCACCTTAGTAAATAAATGGAGGACAGTGTGGTGAATATGCTCCTTGGTGGTGGGGGTGTATAGGGTCAGGACAGCGTTTTCACACGACTTCTATTACCCCAATAATCAGACTTACCTGAGGGGCCTATTCAACCACGGATGAGTGTCTGCAGTAGCTGAGTAACTGCGCACCCACCCCTCCCCTAACCCAATAAAAATAAACTGACAACATGTTCGGGTTAATATTGAGTTAGGGGAGGGAGGGGGATATGAGCATCTACCCTATTAACCGCATGCTGTCGTTGCTTGTTGATAGTCCCTTACTGGCCTCGTCTGAACCAGGCTCCACTCGTCATCAGCAAGCCTCAGAAATGTTCCAAGGTCTGGAGTCACATTCCGTTTTACACGTGCTACACAAGTCTATCAGTTTGGCGCACCTTCCTGAAAAAGAAGTCTTTGAACTTTTGAGAAAGAGACCTGTTTTTACTCCTCTAAAGGAAGACGTAAATGGACCCTCAGGCGAAGGGAGTGAGGAAAGATTAGATGCAAAACAGGCAGGAGGAGAAAGTGAAGAGGTTAATCAAGAGGATTTGGATCAAAACTCAGAAATTCACCCTGAAGTACAAAGAGATATCTTCCTGTACCATAGTTACTGTGCACTTAGAAATTTTATGGAAGCTGTGACTTCTTCTGTAGAGACCTCTGGTGAACTAAGTTTAGAAACCAAACAAGGAAAAACTGCTGAATCTTTTAATTCAGGTGGAAGCGAGTGTTCAGATATGAACTCGGAAGAGAGTTGTCAGGAGGAAAGGTATTGTGGACAAGTTAGAAATAAGCTAGAAGCTGGAAAGTATCATTTAACCCAAGTGTACCCGCTGACTTACAGAGTTGAAATTCTAGAGAACATCTTCAGTCTTCTATTTGCAACTTACGAGGATCTTTACGAGGGAAGAACCCAGCACAATGAAAGTGATGATGTGGAAGCAATGGATGACGAAACCAGGAGTTTATCCAAAAGTAGTCGGACTGGGAGCTGGGAGAGCCTCGCCAGTTCCCTGGATTTGTCTTTTGATGTTCACGGGCCACATACCCCTTTAAAAGACCAAGAAAAGGCGGCCAGTCTAACTGGATCACTGCCTCCAACTCCCCACACCCAGAAGCAGAAAAGTCCACCCGCGTTGTCAGCTATGGATTCTCCCTCTCGTAGGCAGTTGTTTAAAAATAACAGAGCTGAATCCGATTCAGCTCTGTTGAAGAAATCGTTAGATGGAGATGAAACGATAGCGCCTCCTGTTTTTCCGCCTGCGAGTAACACAGTCAAAGCAAAGCTGTCAGAGGAGGAATCATACAGTGGTAATTTGTTCTCTAGTAAAGGGTCGTCAAGGACTGTTGTAGCCGAAGAGAACGATCTGAAATATGAATTTGTGATTGAAGATGCGATTGTACCAGACATGTTGACAACATTGAAAGAATGTCTCATGGAGCTTAATACGGCGAAGTTCAATGAACTGAAGAAAGGTTTGTCACTTATTTCACCACACTGATAGAGTCGCTTTCATCTTTCTCGCAGATAAGCCCAAAAAGCCACAAAAACACTTTGTGTTTCGACTGTCATAGAGAGATCGAAGATACTCTGTTGGAGGTGGACAGTTTTGTTAACGAGTCAAGAATGTTATGTTTTTCGAAAAGACAATTATTACCATTCAGTGGTTGGAATTTTGAAAATAAGATTTGATTCTTACGTTGCAAACTAAAGCTCTGACCCGTAAACCACTACCGACCAAGTCCAAGTCCAAGTTTATTTCGCATTATTCAAATTAATACAGTATAAGATGACTTATATAACTAGGGGAAGAAGATAATGAGAAGTAGATATCATGCAGGTTTGTATATGTGTGCACAGCGACCAAAGTAGTCGTAGCTTTCGTGTTTGTCACTGTCCCATTTAAGTAAATAGAGAGGTCCAAGATGCAAGTGTGAGGCAATAATAAATTAGGGTATTAAGAGAATAGTTCTTAATATTTAACAATTATTCGCCGAAAGCGAGGTGAATATCGTTGAATAATCCCCGAGACAAAGTCGAGGGGATTATTCGACGATATTCACCGAACCTGAGGCGAATAATTGTTTTAGTATAATTTCAGAGCTGAACAACAGAGAAATTTCTAAGAATCATAACGTTTTAGTAACATTTATTAACATTTTATACAAACCGCGTGGAGCGGTTTGTATTGCGTCATATAAGGAACCGCTCGACCAATCAGATTGCTGGAAACTCTTTGCTCAGCTCTGAAATTATACTAAAAATATATAGAATGAATACTAGACTTATTGATACAGCGCGATGATATACTACTTTTAGAATTTATAATAAAAAAAAAAATAGAAGAAAAAAAAGAAAAGAAAAGGAAGAAAAGAAAAAGAAGAAAAGACGGAGAGTAAAAATAATCTAATTATATATACTACTGCTGCATTGTTCAAGGANGAAGAAGATAATGAGAAGTAGATATCATGCAGGTTTGTATATGTGTGCACAGCGACCAAAGTAGTCGTAGCTTTCGTGTTTGTCACTGTCCCATTTAAGTAAATAGAGAGGTCCAAGATGCAAGTGTGAGGCAATAATAAATTAGGGTATTAAGAGAATAGTTCTTAATATTTAACAATTATTCGCCGAAAGCGAGGTGAATATCGTTGAATAATCCCCGAGACAAAGTCGAGGGGATTATTCGACGATATTCACCGAACCTGAGGCGAATAATTGTTTTAGTATAATTTCAGAGCTGAACAACAGAGAAATTTCTAAGAATCATAACGTTTTAGTAACATTTATTAACATTTTATACAAACCGCGTGGAGCGGTTTGTATTGCGTCATATAAGGAACCGCTCGACCAATCAGATTGCTGGAAACTCTTTGCTCAGCTCTGAAATTATACTAAAAATATATAGAATGAATACTAGACTTATTGATACAGCGCGATGATATACTACTTTTAGAATTTATAATAAAAAAGAAAAATAGGAGAAAAAAAAGAAAAGAAAAGGAAGAAAAGAAAAAGAAGAAAAGACGGAGAGTAAAAATAATCTAATTATATATACTACTGCTGCATTGTTCAAGGAAGCCGAGAAGCTAAAGAGAAGAGGGTATGAGCTGTTTTCGTTATCATTGGTAATAGAAAGGTTTTTTAATTTCTTTTAAAGGCAAAGCTATTAAGAGACTTCAATTCTTTTGGAATAGTTTCCCCAACTTAGAGCCGCCCCATATTTAAACGTGAATTTCTCATAGTCAGTTCTTTTACGGATTCTGTATAGGTTCTGATTGGTTGCATATCGAGTATTATAAGAATGTATATTTGCTGCAGGGAGGACAAAGTCAGAGAAAATAGCAGGATTGCACTCTTTATTGTTAAGAATTTTATGAGTGAACGTGGCAATCTTTAATTTAAAAATGTTATCCAGTTTTAGAATGTTAAGAAGGTTGTAATATGGATCGGGGCTTTCCCTACTATCTGCAAAGAAAATATTACGGATACATTTATTTTGCTTTGAGACTAGCTGGTTTAATCGCGACTTATACGTGTTGCCCCAGCTAGCTATACCATAGTGCAAATACGGATAAATTGGTGTAGAATATAATTGATTCGACTCTGAATTCACAAACTTCATTCAAAAAGCGAACCAATGAGAATTGTAGTTGAGGCACGGGGCCACAACTAAGCACGGGAAAAGTTAAATGACAAAGCCGCTCATTTGCTGAGTAGTTTGGGCGAGCTTTTGTTTTCAGACGATGACATAGCCTAGTTTACCAAGTCAGTGGGAGCTGTGTGCTTAGGTATGTTTTTGTCACTTTTTGTTTCAGAAAAGTCAGAATCATTCGTAAGACGCCAAGATTTCCTCCAGACATCCGTTCCTCGCAATTCCATGGAACAGCGTATTTCACGACTGGGCCAGTTCATCAATGAGGCTCAGTGGAGATTCCAGCTGGTGTCCTGGAAAAACGCCTCAAAAGGTCAGACCGCCAGGAATTCCAAAAAGAGACTTTCCAGAAAAATCAAGCAAATAGTACGAACTGATGGCAAATCCAGAGAGGAAGATGCCGAGGATGAAGATTCAGACGATGTGGACGGTGCAATTAGTGAGAATCTTTGAATTTTTTGTGTTACTGAGAGCTCTTCTGCTACTGCGGTTAGTGCGCTTGATCCCAGATCGAGAGGTCTGGGTTCGAGACCTGGCTGAGTCCTTGTGTTGTTTTTTTTTGGGCGAAACACTTGACTTCCAGTGTGCCTCTCTCCACCCAGGAGTTTAATGGGCAGTGGTGAATTGTCAGGGAGGTCTGTTGAAATGCAGAGTGGGGGACTTTGCAATGGAATGGCATCCAATCCAGGGGGGAGTAGTAATACACCTAGATACTTCATGCCATGGAAACCGGGACAAGCTCCAGCTGGATGGGCCACTCGGCTCGGGTACAGACTGAACCTTTTCACATGTTAAGCTTCAAAATCAAGAGTTTCGAGCAATAATCTTACTGCACAGGCTTAAAACTAACTCTCACCAAAGGCAGGGTCAGGTTTGTGCTTGTCAATAGGCAATGTTTATTTTACCGAGATTTTTCAATCGTTATCGACGAGTAAATTGACGAAGTTGCTTTCATTGGCTTTTACGAGGCTTACGCTTCTCGTTTTTTCCTACGAAAACCAGCTGGGAGGACGTCACCTTTAAGTTTGCAAGATTGTTACATAGTTGTGGGTTCAGAAAGAGAAATCTTTACGAATGTAATTTTCACGCAGTTTATAATTTGATGGCCATTTCACTCCAAATTCTCTCCTTAAAGTGTCGAGAATATCACGACAGAAAGCAGCAGCCTCGAAGGAGAATTCTGGTGAATCGAGCGCTCATCTTAGCCAGGATATATCAACAGGTGACATAAACCACGCAAACGCCATATTTAGAGCGATTTTGAATTTAGCAGCGAAAGTAAACCGGGGTTGCTTTGGTTTTTATTTATCTTTGTTATTTGATTGGTCCAGAAAACTCGCACCATCCCTTCAACCAATCAGAGGCAAAACTAAGAACAATCGCGACTTGGTTACTCGCGTTTTCTCGCGTTTTCCCCCTCTTTCCCACTCTGAGTTCTTTGATTAGTGATGTTGTAAATCTTTTCTCTTTTTTGATTGGTCGCTGTGACTACCTTGATTTTTGTTATTTGGCATTCGATGGAAAACAGCTCTGTAGTGCCTTAATTTAGCTTTGGGTTACTTTACGATGAATTGATTTGTGTGAGAACTCTGCTATTTTTTTCTCTGCCGCTTGTGAGAAGGTCAACCATCCTCACCTTGCGGATCGTAGGTCATTAAGCTTTATTTTTCCCAGCCTCCTATCTATGCGTTAAATCGTTAACACACTCACGAGTGCCTGATACGTTAGGTTCCATTCATCTCTCTCGTGCCATTATGTTCCCCGGGGTACCTGGCAATGTTTTTTTTCCTCACCGTGTATCCAGGGGACCGTTTATATTTATGCTGGGGGGGGGATAGTTAATCGGCAGTCAGTTTTCTACAGTACTCCCTTTAGACTCTGTTGGCAACGATTGATCCCCCCTCTGTTCCCCCTGAAAACCATGTGATCCCCCAAAATTCTTCTCCGCTCTCCACCTTAAGCGATAAATAATCACTGGTCCCTAAGCTCATATTATTTTATTTCACAAATATTTTTTTTCAGGAACGGATGATAACAGAGAGGTAACAAGAAAGAGGAAAAGTCGTCATCGCCGGCTGACGTCTCGAACGTCTGGTTCCGAAGGTTGCACTTTACTCATCAAAGATGATAGCGTTATAGCACGCATGCTCTCCTCTCCTGACACGCTGATATACATGTGCATGAGAAAAGACAATTACGAACGAGCGCTCCAAGTTATAAAAATGTTTAACATGGCTGAGAAGCCTAGTGCTCTAGCTGCAGTCTTTGCCGAGAAGTACAGTAAAATTGTAAAACATTTGGAAAGTTTACAACCCAAAGGTAGACGAGTCAAAACCCAGGGCCTCTTGAAATCTCGAAAGCCTCTCGGGGGCCTGGGCGCGGTTGCCATGGCAGCTGCCTCGGGTGCTAGCAGCTCAGTGGTTTCCAATCTGATTGACGAATTGTTAGCAATGCCGTCTTTGAGTGCGGTCCTAGATCTCAGTCTCACTCCAGAGGATTTGGCGAATGGGAATTCAACTTTGGTGAAATTTTTGGATCCGGAAATGATTCCGACGATGTTATGTGTGGATCTGGCGAGCACAACAGCTGTATCCTGGTCAGTCTGCAAGACTTTGCTGGAAATGGGGAAAAGTCGGATCACTGAAGGTGAGAGATAAATTGTATCGTTGAGCAAGTTTCTATTGACTTTCGAGAGTCTCGGTGATTGCCTTAGTTGTGCCTCACCAGACTTTGTTATAACTCCAGAAAACTACTCAGATGCAGATCTGAATGCAATCGCTCCACTGATCACTCCTGTTTTCCCGTTTTCCCTGCAGCTAGCATGTCTCTATTTTAAGTTGTCATCAGCTTCTTGTGATACAGTACTATCCCATGTCCTTATTGTCTGTGGTCACGTTGTGATTACTGCGGTTTTGGGTTTGTGCTTCTTTTACTCCATCTTTTATAGATTTTCTTTGATACTCACCAGGATAGTTTGTCTCTGAATCAGAGCTTGTTAGGTTGGTGATCATGTCTTTATATTCTCATGATCTTCATAAATGATTCAGCAGTATTACTGTAAGGAGAAATTAGATTTCGGTCACTCTTAGGTTTGAAATGGTTAAAAAGTGCTCTGTTACAAGATGTTTCTTTACCTTCTAGGTCCATATCCATCTTCCTCCAAATCAAGTGGACTCCTCCCCGGCATAAAACCATTTATGTATCAACTCGAGGAGCTTTTGGATCAAGAAATGTCACGTGGTAATGCCCGGGCCCCGTCTGGTGGCATCGCCATCTCCGTCACTCCTAAACCTAATGCAATGGACCTTGTTCTTGTTGGAACACATCCCATTCGGCCCAAGGACATGGAGGCTCACAGAAAACTCATTTCTTCTCAAGAAGAATCTTTTAGGTAAGGACTTAATGTAAAACTACGGAATGCGGAGTTAAATCGTTGTAGCGCTTGGAATTTGGGCTTGTCTGTTCTCTGAAACCGTTGAGACGTCTTGATTTTAATAACAATCTCAGATAAACCGCTCTTTCCTTAAACAATAGGCGAGAGTGTAATGCATGTACGTTAGTCTCCAAGAACAGAAACAGGAGAAACAGAAACAGAAACAGGAAGAAATGGCATTTCATTTATTTACAGTTGGAATATCGCTGAGACAATTTTATTGAGAGGCAAAGGACGCAAACTTGGTTTCAAGGGGGAAAAATCTTTCTTGTATAACCTTTGTATATATCCCCATTGTTGAAGAGACATTTATATTTAGAGGACACGGGGAGGGGGGGAGTGGGGAGGAAGGGAGGGAGGAAATATGCTTCCCAAAATGCAACTGGAGAGAAAAGTGAATTTGTTTGCTTTTGTCTCAGACGGTTTGAACAGGCGTTGGATGAAGGTGAAACGCAGATCAGCAGTGTGGACGAGGTTGCTAAACAACCCCCTGGCCACAGGCACGTCGGTAGGCAAGACTCGTTTAATCTGATGGAGAAGGGCCTAGCTGTAAGAGTCGCCATGATCGAGCTAAAGAAAGCATTTGATTGCACTGATAGCGCTAATTACGTCACTACCGCAGATGGAGGGGGCTTGGAACAGAGATACGACTACATATCAAGTTTGATTAAGCACGTAGAAACTTTGGCGACGCTTTTGCTTTTTTGGAAATCAAAAGCGGGAGGTATGTTTGGAGTATCCTTTTATCGAAATTCGGTATACACCTCGATAACAGGATCTTGTCAGGCTTGAACGTCTGAAGTGTCCTGCCACCAAACCTTTGCTTGTTCCCTTTGTATCTTTTAATATATCTTTTTGTTGTGGTTTATTTTGTGGTCTAACTTGTTCGGATAACGAAAAAATTATAAAATATTTAAGTATAAAAAGCAACGCTATTAAATCATACGCTTCAGCGACGACATGTCACTTCTATCAAATGCAAATGAGAAAAGATTACCGTTGATATAGAGATAGAAAACGAAGTTGTGAAACTAAACAGTAAAATGTGGAGTGCAAAAGAGTGGATATTCTCCTTCGCAACTGTTGTTTGGGCTCGTCACGCACCCTCCCCCACCAACCGTGGGGGAGGGTGTGTGACGAGCCCAATCAACGGCTGCGAAGGAGACTAAAGAATGGAATAACTGGAAATTTTTCTGGAATGGCGTCTGTTTGAATGTTCAAAGTAGGTCTCTTTTCCTTTAGGGGCAATATCTCAAAAATAAGGCACTCAAACTTTCCACGTCATTTCTAACTTGTTCGGTTTGGCTTTTCTATTCATTTAATAAGTTCCCAACGGATAGGCTTTTTAGTTGTCCGACAGCACTTGGAAACAACAAAACAGTAGTTGACAACAACGGGTTTGTATTTTCTCTACATTTCTCCTGGGAAGGTTACCTGTTAGTCACGACTCTGTGTTCAGCTAGCCTCTACTCTGTGTTCAGCTGGCCTCTAGCGTCTTGGTTAGCTCAATTGGTTAGAGCGCCGGATTGGGTTGTGCGGGAGGTCGAGGGTTCGAGCCCCGGCCGGACCAATACTCATGGTCTTAGAATAACTGAGGAGAATTTGCTACCTTTCTATAATATCAAGAAATGGATAGATATTCTAGTCTTCTCGGATAAGGACGAATAAATGGAGTTCCCGTCTCCTGCAGGGTTAGGGGTAGGAGACGTTAATTTCCCACGCACGAGATTACTGTGTGATGGATGTCCTCCCCAGGGGTGGGATGTGTGGGGGGAAAGGTGAGGTCGTTACATGGACTAAAGCGGCTGCCAGAGGCGCCTGATAATGCTGACGTCCGATCTCAACCTTCATAACATTGTAAACCTTAGCAATTCAGCCTATGCTGCTATTAAGGTATCGAATAAACCATTCATTCATTCATTCATTCATTCATTCATTCTGTGTTCAGCTAGCCTCGACTCTGTGTTCAGCTAGCCTCGACTCTGTGTTTCAGAGCCAGTTTCCTGGCATGTGTGCGAAATTAGCAATTTTACTTTTATTTTCTCCCTCCGTGTTCTTCAATATGTATTGTTTCATTTTCAGACGCTTCATCGAGTGTTCCTCCAGATATCGATCTCAATCGCCCAGGTGCTCTGAAGGTTTCCAATCCTTTTGTTGTATTGAATGAAAGCATTGCGGAAGCCCTTGGAAGACCCATGTTCGAAAGGAACATTCCTCCAAACAGGTAACTTTAATGCCAATATTGCCCTTTCGTCTTTTATCTCGAAAATGTTCCCATATTTCAAGGAAAAGATTATCCATTACATTGGCGACCTGATTGTAAAAGTAAAGAATTTTAATCTTTTGAGCCATAGCGAAAGTAAATGCTAATTTGCTTAATTTTCGCATGGGAATTCTCTAAAGGAAGTTACGATCTGCTTTACTTTGTCAGCTTGGAGGCTGTTGCAAGGCAATTGCATGTAAATCTCTCCAAGGTCATCGTCTACAACTGCTGTCCCTCTGTGCCTTCACACGGGGGAACCTCTTGTAGAGGTCAGTATACCCGACTATCTCATTGTACGTTCTATATGTGTCAGTGGTTACGTTCCAAAGGTATCGGACGAATATATATAGCGGTCTAAAATTTACCAGACATTTCTTCTTGTTTTGTTTTGTTTTGTTTTGTGCAATCTTTATGTTTAATGCACTCGGACCAGTCCAATCCAAAATTTTTTTAGTAGTTTTACCATCTGCCCACGCGCGTATTTGGTCAGCGAAGTAGGAGCTACAAAGAGCAGTAAAAGTTTATTGATTCGAGCAGTTACAGAGTAACTAATTGTGATAAAGGACCTGATTATTATATAAAGTTGCGCTGTATTCAACAGACGTCCGCTGGCCATCATCTGACCTGGTTGTTTTGAATACTGGAAGCAGGTGGACGGAGAATGTTCGAGATCCTAACACTGTCTCTAACGACTTGTTATCCAGAATGGTAAAACTTTTAAAAGGTATCTTACATCTAGCATGTATTAAGGCATGTACTACTGTGAATCAACCTGCAGCAGTGCGTAAAGATTGAAAAGAAAATTGTCTGTATTTCGCGCCAAACGAAAGAAAATTCACAGAGGCCAAAGGAAGATATCAGTGATTTTTATTGATAGTAAGAGGCATATAGATGGTGTCTCTGCTCCTACCGTGTGGCTCACTGTTGTACTTATTGATAGTAAGAGGCATATAGATGGTGTCTCTGCTCCTACCGTGTGGCTCACTGTTGTACTTATTAAGATATCAGTGATCTTTATTGATAGTAAGAGGCATGTAGATGGTGTCTCTACTCCTACCGTGTGGCTCACTGTTGTACTTATTAAGATATCAGTGATCTTTATTGATAGTAAGAGGCATATAGATGGTGTCTCTGCTCCTACCGTGTGGCTCACTGTTGTACTTATTAAGATATCAGTGATCTTTATTGATATTAAGAGGCATATAGATGGTGTCTCTGCTCCTACCGTGTGGCTCACTGTTGTACTTATTTAAGCTCGCGTTCTCTCTAATCCTCAGGTCAAGCCCTGTAAAAAAAATCGTAATAATATTCTTATTGGCAGCTAATAAATATATTTTTTCACTTACTGAGCTAAAAAGTTTAATTGAAGTCTCTACATTGCCGCTTGCTTAACTTCTCTACATTTGTTGAGTTACAGATTTGGCAGAGAAGAACGGCGGTGAGGTGGATTCGAACTTAGTGGCTAATATCACAAGGACGCCTGAGTTTCAAGCAATTTCACGGGGCACTGCAGAGCTTCAGTGCGTGGATCTTAAATTGCTTTCTTCAGATGCTGCCAAGGTGTGCTTCTACCTCAACACAGTAAATCTTCTGATGGCGCATGCGTCACTGATTCAGTTCGCAGACAGCTCTGGGGATGGTAAGAGTGAAGTTGAACGCTCTATTACCCGGCACGCTTCATTTTCTCGGCTCATGGACGCGATGTCAAGTTCTGGAGGGGAGGGGAAAGGTGGTGATGCAGTTCCCCTTACTGCTCTAGAGAGGATTGCATTTCTAAAGCAGCAGTGCTACTGTATCGGTCAGCTGGGTGTAGTAAGGTGAGAATTTAAGATAACCGGGATAAAAATCTGGCCTCATTTGCTTGAGGGATGGACAACATTGCCCAGCGCTTTGACACCTTGCACTTTAAAGTCAAGTCTCCTTGTTAACTTTCTTAGTTTGCTTATAAGCTGACACTTTTGATTGCTGTAGTACGATAGGTTTGGGAGATGCCGTGGCCCGATGGTTAGTGCCTTGGACTTCTGGTCGAGGGGGTCTGGGTTGGAGACCCGACTGGGTCAATGTGTTCTGTTTTTGTGCAAAACACTTCACTCTCACAGTGCCTCTCTCCATTCAGGAGTAGGAATGGGTACTAGAGAATTGTCAGAGAAGCCTGTCGAAATGCTGGGGGGGGGGGGGTAACCTTGCGATGGACTAGCATTCCATGCTGTGGGAGCAGTGATACTCCTGGTTGCTTCATGCTAAGGAAACCGGGATAAGCTCCGGCTGGATAGGTCACTTGGCTCCAGTACAAACTTTACTCACCTATCTACCTATGCGATTGATCCCAACTGATTGATCATGTGTTAAAAAATGAAATAGTTTTTAAAAACCAGAGCCCTTCAACCTCTCTTGTAAGTTTTTTTTCGTCCAAAAAGTTTTATTTCATGTTTTCAGTTATGGATGAATGGATCTTTTGAATTCTGTGTTGTTTTACCTCTTGCGTCGAAGAGTACAGCATGTAAATAGAAAATTCGTCCCCTAGTGTGCAGAGTGGAGGAGGTGATAATGGTGCAATTAATTGCTCATCATGTTGACTACGTTTCTATTCTCAGTGCTTTTGATCTGCAGTTCGTTATTTTGCACAAAGGACTGGTACCGCCAAGCACATTTGGAGAAGGTGTTATCATGTGTTTTCCAGGTAGGGAAAGGACAGTTCTTTCCTGGAGTGTATATCTGAAGGAAAAACTCGAAAACGTTTGCGCAAATTACGAACTTAAACGGGGTCACGCAAGAACATTATCGCAACACCATAATAAAATGAGGAAATAGTAGACAGTTTGAGAAGCAGCGATGGTTTTTTCCTTCTGTTGAAGGCAAAAACAGTTCGGTTAAAGGTTAGAATTTTCCTAACAGACTGCCTCGAGAGGAAAAAACCTCTAGAACACCATTTCCAGGTTGGTTACTGCCTAATTACATTTTGTTATTGCATCCCTCAGAACGATTCACAGATGACGCAAAGAAGTACAAATTCACTACTCCTGAAAGGCGAGTCGTTTTCGCCATCTGTGACGGCTGTATCTCTTCTCCACAGTTACAGGTAAAAGCTCTAATGTACTTTTAGTTTTCCTCCGCGGCAAATAGTTGAGAAGGGGGACTTTCTCTCAGCGTTGTTGATTTAGTTTCAGATATTCTAAAAGTCTCTTTTATCGACATTTCTCGCCCTTTTAAAAATAATTACCTAATTTTGGGTTTTACCGTTTGAATTTTGTCGCTCGCAAGTTCGTTAATGGGAAATTCATAGTTCAAGTTTGAAAAGTAAAGTTATCTTGAATTGCTTTTGTTTAAGGTGTCTATGAGAAAAACCGCTTAATTGGATGGTTTTTACTTGTTGTGTTCTGTTCCTAATGCCGGTATCTGTTTACACGCAGATTTTCGATGTGGATGAACTAGATGCCCAGCTCTCTACCGCTGTTGTTTCGTATATTAATTCCCGCGTATCTTTGAACCAACAAACTGGACAAATAACACTGCCAGAAATTCTTCATTGGTACAGAAAGGACTTTGAAATAAAAGCCGTGGATGATTTTAGTAGTGCCTCAGGTGCAGCACCCGATGTTACTCTCTTGCTACAGATGGAGCCGTATCTTTTTCCAGATACTGCTGCAGTTCTTCAACAAATGCTCCCGAACGTCACTGAAATCACTTTTACGCCATTTTGCTGGAATTTTGGCTACAGGTTTGATTCAATGCTGCGCGAGCGTTCTTCTTCGGTATCAAGCTTGCAGCGGTCCAATTCTTTGCCAGAAAATCTCCTTCTGAGCATGGAGTTGTCTGTCCTTGCTAAAACAAGAGGTGTCGGGAAAAGAGGATTGTTCAGCTTGAACGAGACAGCGCTTGAATATTTAGAGGAAAAATCTCCACTGGCAGCAGCGTTAACGAGTTTGGTGTGTTCCTCTCCTGCAAAACTGAATATTTTAACGGAAGACCGCCCCCAGTTTTCAAAGGAAACTTTGGATTCTGCAAATGAAACAGCCGAGTTTCCTTTCCGAGTTGCTTTGGAGAAAACTGCGAAATTTCCGTGTCTTCAACGATACATTGCCTCCAAGTTGTACACAATAGCAGACATGTTGACTCTTTCCCCTGCAGATTCCGACGAACAGGGTGGAAGCTTTGGCAGCGATGACTTCATCAAGTTAGATTTAAACCTTCAAACTTTACAAGATGGAAAGCGACCTCCGGAGATCTCTCTTTTCTCGGTAGCTTTGGCTTCCGAAGGGAGTCGCGCACTCCAGAATGCTATCCTCAAAGCGAGCGATTTTTTTTTGCGCAAAGGCTACTTTGAAGAACTCTTGGAGTTAATCTGTTCATCTGATCTTCGTGGTGATGGAGTAGCAGGCCCTTCGATTGATTTCTTGTTGAGTTCGGCCGTTCTAAGTAAAGGAGGAACAAGATCCAACCTCCGGAAGAAACTTGAAATAATTTGCAATCAACTTGAGATTCCAGATTTAAAATTTGGTCATGTATTCCATAAGAAACTTTGGATCCTATTAACTCGATTGAAAGATCATGATGAACTAACACGCCTCGTTCTTAGGAAAATTAAAGAATGGAAAGCTGATACCTGCATTGACTTAATCGATTTGTGTCTGTCTCGTTCGGTCGACAACGCTGCCCGAAGAAAAGACTTGGAGAGGAAAAGGAAAGAGATATCATTACATCAAAGGGTAAACGTCAGAATCTCCTATTTGGTTTTGTTCCGGTTTGTTTATACATTCAAACATTTCTGCCTTCTATCTGTTTACGTTCGTGTAGAGAGTTCTCTTTTGCCTCTATTCGCTGACGATCTGTCTTTCTATCCGTCCGTTTTGCGCCTGTTTGTCTCTTTGTCTGCCCTTTTGCGGCTTCGGCTGTGTGTTGGTTTTGCCGTTTCTTGTTTTCACAGAGTGTATGTGTTTCTGCCGAACCATCTGCATTTTATCTCTGTCGTTTTGCATATGTTACCATCTTAGTATCCGTCTGAATAACTTCTGTTTGTGCCAGTCCTACCGGTTTGTTTCTCCCTCCGCCTGGTATCTATTTGCCTAGTTGTCAGTCTATCGGTTTGTGTACCTGTCTATCTCGCTTTCAATAATTGCACCTCTTCTTCCTGGCCTCCTCTCTGCTTTTTTTCTCGTGCTATCTAAAAAAACTGTTAATCAACAAATGCATGACTTTTTCAGATTTCTTTGTGTGTAAAGCCGTTCAAGTTACAGGCGCCTGCAGAAGAGAGGGCATCGCCTTCAGCTAGTCTGAAATGTTGGCAAGGCGTAGCGTCCCTGTCTGAGGAAAATCCCTCCCTTGTTATGGAGTTTTTGTTGTCTGCTCAACAGTTTGATCTCGCATCGGAATGGGCTCAACTGCACAATCTGCCGCCTAATTTTCACAAGGCAAGTAAAACAATTATGGTTGTCCAAGCTATGGGAGCATTCTATAGACTGCATCGTATCCAACACAACAACAGTGAATGCAAAAATACTACGTAGGGCATTTACACCGTCATTTGATTAAGCAGCTATCAAGGAATGTTTAGTTTAGTGTCGATAATAAACCAAGACTGTTTTGGTTTTGCTTTACTTTGTTCTGTTATTGGTCCAGAAAACTGACGCCATTCCGTCAACCAGTCAGATGTAAAACTAAAACTAATCGCGTCTTCTTATTGTCTCTTCGTGATGTTATTCTTTACCCGGATCAGCCGTTGTGATAATTAAGTGTTAATGTACTGTGCCTGTTTTGTTACAGGTCATCACTGAAAGTCACCTGAAATTTCTCCTTGGCAACAATCCAGAGGAACAGATGAAGGCGTATAAGATCCTCGAAGGTCTGCAGGATCCAGAAATGTCGCAAGATATCTGCGAGTCACTCCTGGCGCAAAACCTACACGTCAGCCAAACGCTGTTTATAATACAGTTCATGCTCACCAATATCCCCTCTCTCCTTTCTCCAGTCCGCGTAGAGAAGTTGCTTTGCACAAAGATGGGAGCCAAGGCCCTACTGTGCTTACCAGACTCTGCTCGGCCGCATTATGAACACCTGGTTTCCAGGCCGCCGCTGTTGCTTGAGCAGCTGCTGATGAACATGAAGGTAGAATGGGCAGCCAAGGTGTTTAAAAGAATTCAGGTAAAATTATTGCTTTATACCAAGGCCACTCCATAAAATTCCTTAAGACTCTTCAGTGTGTAGATTTGGGTGGTACACGATTTAAATCCCCGTCCACCCAAGATAAATTTTCACTCTTAAAGGAGCACTCTGATGAAACCGCCCTATAATTTGAAGACCCGAAAAATTTAGTTATTTCATTATAATATGAATTTTTAGTGATTAATAAAGCCTTTACAATAATAATTTTAGTTGAAAGTCAATTCTAGGGCGAGAAATTACGATTTGAAAACCGTTCCGCCATTAATTTTCGTAATCACTTCGCAGGCTCGAGAAGACTGGCGCGAGTTTGGAGACTACTCATTTGACGCGCCGTGCTCGTGGCTAATTTTCAAAAACAGTATTTTGATCGTCTATATTCCTTTTTATAACACTAGGACTAAGACTATTTCGCTAAATTTCACGAGGTTTCTGTATGAATATAAAAGTGTGTTGAGTAATCTACGTCACAATGGGAGGGACCGTGACGTAGATTACTCATTTGACGCGCCGTGATCGTGGCTAATTTTCAAAACCAGTATTTTGATCATATATATTGCTTTTTATAACACTAAGACTAAGATTATTTCACTAAATTTCTCGAGGTTTCCGTATAAATATAAAAGTGTGTTAAGTAATCTACGTCACAATGGGAGTGACCGCTGACCGAAGATAAGTTGGCCGTTATTACGAAATTTAATGGCAGAACGGTTTTCAAGTCGTAATTTCTCGCCCTAGAATTGACTTTCAACTAAAACTATTATTGAAAAGGCTTTATTAATCACTAAAAATTCATATTATAATGAAATAACTGAATTTTTCGGGTTTTCAAATTATAGGGCGGTTTCATCAGAGTGCTCCTTTAAAGCACAGAAAACTTTTTTCCGTATACACTGGAGCCGGATCAAATGTCACAGTCTAGTCACACCAAGTCGGCTGAATTTGAAAACCCAACAATCCCAGAAACGGTTGATCGCCTCTTCGAGCATGCGCGTAATGAAGGTCTAAATACAATACAATACAATACAATATTCTTTAGTTAACGAAGGTGACGTATTTAAACCAATGAGTTATCTAACTTACGGCCTTCACAACAAACCCACCATCCCACCCCAGGGGACATCCATCGCACAGTAATCTCGTGTGTGGGAAATTAACGTCTCCTACCCCAACCCAGTAGGAGACTGGACATCCATTTATTCATCCCTATCCGAGAAGACTAGAACATCTAACCATTTCTTGATGTTTTGAAAGGTAGCAAATTCTTCTCAATTATTTTAAGACCTTGAGTGTTGGTCCTGCCGGGGCTCGAACCCTCGACCTCCCGCACAACAGTCCAGTGCACTATCCATTGGGCTAACTAATGAATGATACTAGGCACGTAAGCTTAGCCTTATGAGTTTAAAAAGGAGGTTTAAACATGGAGTTAAAATCGCTCATTCAAATTTATCCAGCGTAATTTTTGACAGGACCAGACCGCTTCCATTTTCCTAACAGAATATTGAGGGAGCACAGTACCTCACCTTTCTGTGAAAATGTCATGTATGCCTGTTTAAAGATGTTCTTTCAACAATGTGCTGCCTTAAGTGAGGTCTTAACGATGTATGGGCATTCCTAATTTTAGCATTTTTATTATTATTTCCTTTATGTCTACTATTTTTTACTCACTTCGTTGGCATTATTATTTGCTAATTATGAATTTTTTTTTTTGTATCCACCACAGGTCGACCTAAGTTGCATGGAGGACGTTGAAAGCCTTGGTGATCACGGATGCACAGTGAAGGCCTTTGACGAACTATTAACCACTTACTCTGCCAAGGCACTGGAATTTCAAGTTGTACAGACGGAGGAAAGTCAGATTAAGGGTGAGAAATAATCAGAAAAGCCTAAATATCTTCAAACCTGGTATGTCGCAAGGGATCGTGTGAAAGTAAGCAGTTTCAAGACTCCTTTTGCAGCCATTACATTTTTTGTCAACCACCAGACCATTACTAAAAGTGTATGGCTTGAGATGGCAACTTTCTTATTCGCGGTATCACAAAATTTGGACCGGATTTCGACAGAGTTTCGTGAAACCGAAAAACTCACCAAGCTCGAGGAGAACAAAGGGAAATGTAAAAAACACCTAGTGAAAACTCTTTGTAAAATCAAGCAAACAATGTGAGGGGTGAGAAAAACCCATTGACCTCCTGATTGTTTGACGAAAATTTTCTAAAACAATCATTAGTTGAATTAAAGTAAAACCGATGCAACACCATGTTTATTTTCGTTTATTTATTTACTTAATTGGGAATCGCGTCGAGAGTTGTTTCCTTTCTTAACAGAAATGTGCAGCAGTATTATGCAGAGTCTAATCCAGGCTCCCTCGTCCTCGCCAACCACCTCTGTAGGCTTCCTGGAGTCTGGTCGCTACGCCCCTGTTACCTCAATATTTGGGACCCGGGATACCCCAGTTGGGAACGCAGAAAGGAAAGTACAAACCGTCCCCAGAAGAAAGATTTCTCACGAACCACGATCGGTCACCCTTCAGAAGCAAACAGCTTCTCCACGTACCACTGGAAGTCTGGGAACGCGGAGAACTGCAGTTTTCGGTGGTCAGCAGCGGTATATTCCGCCTGTTGTTCCACCAAAGATGGAAGACTGGATGCCAGATCAGGAAGTATCACTATGTGTCATTTGCCAAGAGAGGTTTAGCATGGTAAGTCAAATATCTAGGCTTTATATCGTAAAATAGGATGTGGTGTTCTATGCTATCACCAGAAAAGGTAGATGAAAAGAAACTTTAAACTCTCGCATTTCTGTGCACCTCGCACAGACTTAGTGCGATTTTTAAAAGTCTTTTGTTATCAATCCGCGCTTTTGCTTCTGCCTCCATTATATTTTGGCTCCTTGGAGGACGGAAAAGTGTCCAGTATTCCCTCATTGCACTGGTTCGCGTAAGCGATGTGTAGGTCAGGACGATCTCATGGATCGTATGTTTCTACAGTCGATCTGTATAGACCAGAGTACAGTCTGTGAGTTGGATCGTGTTAGTGGCACTTAGAAATGTTTTCATCTTCATCAGATTGCGAAGCAAAAACTGTTTATCTTTTCGCGCGGATCGTGCATATGTTTGTAAATCTTACAAACGGTTCTTTTAAAAATAGCTGAGTACAGTCTGTGAATTCCATCTAACATGTGGTGCTTTTCATGTTAATTAGAATGCAAGGTAGATGCGCATAGTCTACCTGTGTAAATCGGGTAGATTGCACGGACCTTATGAATGGTCCGTGTGAGCTGGGTAAAGTCCGTCAACTGCATTCTTCTCGTTCCCAGAGTCCTCTTTTGTTTCGCTCACGTGGTCGAAGAAACGAGCGTAACGGTAGGTGAAAACGAGTGGCTCTGGGAACGAGAATGGGGCATGGCCAAGGCCTGTTTGTCAATTGATCCAGGTGATTCGTACGAATGAAACATTGAAAATGATGCCAAAGCGATAATGAATGCGAAAAACATTTCATCCGTTGTTTGGGGCGAAGATGTTTCAAATTCTATTTTGATCTGTTTGTAGAAAGATATTTCAGAGCTATGGAATTGCAATGGAAATTTAAACATCAGTGGGCTCCTGTGAAGTTTGAGGGACGTCTGTTTGGTTCGGATACTTTTTTTCTTGTTTAAGTTTTGTTTTTTTTTTATCTCTTCGAAGTTCAATCGCCGTCATCACTGCCGACGCTGTGGTCGCGTCGTATGCGGGTCGTGTTCCCAACACAGTCACGTTGTTGATGGATACGGGAAGAATTCTGTGCGAGTGTGCAGTGTTTGTCATGAATACTTCTTCACCAGCAGGTGGGTGAATTGTAGAAACAAAACGCAAAATCATTTCCTTGCAAAACCCAAAAACAAAACGCAAAATCATTTCACCCTGGGTAAATTTGGTTCTTATTACATGAAGCCACAAAAAGCTTTTAAGGGTTCGATAACACAGTTTTTAACGTGACGTTGACACTAATTCTGTCCAATAAGGTCGGTTCCATGGATCGTTCGGATATCTTTTTGTCAGAAGACTAACGGAAACCGTTGAAGCTAGCTGCCATCTAAAAAATGGTCTAATTAACTGGTTAAAAGTCTAGTTGTGTTACACAGCCTTGCAATTAAAACTAGGTGTTTCTTTTTCCTACGGTATTTGATGGCTCCATGAAGCATGGTCTGCAATTCAAAATTCTGGATACACTCTGTTTTCAATTAGTTAAACAAGTTTTGCACTGTCTTTTATTTTCTTTTGTTTTGTTTTGTTTTTTCCCTTCGGTTTCAGTTCTTCTCAAGAAGACCTCAGCACATCAGTTCGCTCAGAGTCAGCTTCATTCGGATTGGCACGTGCTTCTCAAGGTAACGGTTAAGGTTCTTTAACCATCGACTCTCTTACTGATGAGTATTTAGCTCCTCCTTGCGGCCGAGTTTTAACTTACTATCCAGCAAATAAGTAAGCAAATGATCAGCTAGAGAGAGCTATTTCGATCAAACACCAAATTTACATAATTAATGTGCAAAGAAGGGTAATTTAGTGACAATGTATCATTATTAGGGCGCTTTTCGATGAAATGTCGTAAAAACAAATCAAAGTAAAGGAAAAGACCCGGAAGAGCCTATCGGAATTCAAAGTAATAACAAGCAAACTGCCTAAAGTGTCGGAAAGCTAGGGAAAACGCGGGTCATCAAGTCGTGATTGGAATTAATTCTTCATCTGATTTGTTGAGAGAGTGGTGCGAGTTTTCTGGACCAATCACGGAGCGAAGTAAGGGAAAACCCATGAACAAACGGTAAACACCACAGCGTACACTACTGAGTGATGGATGCGCGAGGGAGGTTGCTAAGCACGAAAGATGCGTAGGAGTCGCGCGAGGCGATAGTCGAGAGCGACTCTAGCTTGTTGAGTGCTTAGCAAACCTCCCAAGTGCATCCATTACTCAAAAGTGTACACTGTGGCGTTTACCATTTGTTTTATAACATAACATTGATACATTGTAGCAAAAGAGTTTTCTTTTATTTAACGAATGTTATGTGACCAGAAAAAAACAAGTGCGCGGAAAGCTAGTCTTTGCATTTGCTCACGTCAGCAGCGTATACCTATGGGGAAATGGTGGACACTGAAATGACCAATCAGAGTGTGCGCTTTACTTTGGTTATGTTATAAAGCAATCTCGGATTTCGATACTCTGTAAAAATAGGGTTTATTGTTACTTCGGGTTGTTCGAGAGCCGTGTTATCCCAGTGGATAAGACGAAGTTCAAGCGAGAAGAGAAGCAATAATGTTGAAATGAAGCTGTCGTCCCACATTTATGAAATGTTGACACTTGTCTGTTTTGTTGTTGTTGTTGTTGTTGTTTGCTTTGTTTTTTATCCACTGTTTAGTTAAAATGCTTAAATTTTGTTCGCTTTTCTCCAAAGGAATTGCAGAGAACACAGCGGATAGTGGTCCAGACAGTGTTTCAAGGAGTTATTTTGAAGAAACTACCTCCTTGGACTACCTGACAGAGGACATGAATGCAAGATGTCACTGGAAACTAGGTTTGGATGAGGAAACCAACTCTTCTTTGAGAGACGAGTTTTATTATGAACAGGTAAGGAGTAGCAGCGGACAGCACAGGGTGTCACATTTTACTACAGCAACTGATGACGTTTACGGTGATTTTTTTTTTTTTTTTTGTATCTAGGCCCCAAGTGCCTCCTTGTGTGTGTCGATATTGGACCTTCACAGTGACGTTAAGGCCTGTGGCAAGCTTATTCTGGACCTATGTAATTCGCTCTCTCAAAAGTTGGTCCCCGTGGCTCCAGGTATCAGTAATGAGGAGTTGGACCCTTACCTGCTCATAAGGTCAGTGGCCGCGTGATCTGGTAATGGGACTGGTACCAAGTAATGACGAGTACAGTCCGACCTCTATTAAGCGGCCACCTATTAAGCGGCCACCACCCATTGTGCGGCCACTTTGTAAAGTCCCGATTTATTTGTCTGTTAACTGCTATATTTGTTACCTCTTTTCAATGGGCACCTCTATTAAGCGGCCGCAGCCACCTTTCTGCTGTCGCAAGTGTACTATTTACATGGTTTTTTACCTCCATTAAGCGGCCAGCAAATTATCTTTCTAAGCGAAATGGTGACAGATGATATAAGGTGATAACTGATATCAACAAGAAAACAAGAACTGTAATTTAATCTCCACCATAACAAGTCACAAGCCACATACACGTGCAAACTTTTCACATCCGGCGCTATACAAACATAACAATAGCTAACAATAGATAGAGCTGAACCACTGTTTTGTTACAACCAAAATCTGTACAGGAAAACTTTACTACTACTGTACTGGAAATCTACAAAATTTCCTTGCTCCTCAAGTTTTGATTTTAACCATTGAATTGAAAACTCGTCTCCTGTGAAGCAGTACTCGCATGGAATTTCTAAACCATAGCCGGCCCCTCTGTTTATGTGTTTGCCTTTCACAACAGCTCTTCCTTTGTTTGTTGGCCTCTTGAGAAATTTTGTAAGTCGTAGGGCCATAAGCCCTACGTGCCCTCTGTTTTAGAGCTAGAACTATGCATGGGCAGGAAATGCACTTGATGCTTTGTTACAATGAATTTTGGATTTATCTTCAAATATGTTCACTTTTTAAAAGCAATATAGAGTCATTAAAATCATGTTTTCTGCCATTCCTATCTAATTTAAATTGTACCTCTATTAAGCGGCCAACCTCTATTAAGCGTCCACTTTTCAAAGTCCCGGGGGTGGCCGCTTAATAGAGGTCGGACTGTAGTTGTGGTGGAAGAAACTTCTGGGTTCTTCTGGAAAATTTAACCTAAAGCTCGGAGTTTTTTCAAGGACTCAATTCCGAAAGCTGGGCTACGGACTTATAACAGATTCCCCATAGCTGGTGTCAACAACTGCCGACACCTGATTTACGACAGAAAACTATCTAACTTTACCGACTGACTAAAACGACCAATCACAGCTGACCTACATTTCTTGAGTCGCCTTGTCAGTAGCATGGAAAAAAAAAACCAACCAATCAGTTGTCACGAACCAGACCTAGAACAAACGACTTTTCAACAATTTCCCATGTGATTCTGATGATGACGTCGCTTAATTGTCTGACGATCACACAACTGTTTTTTTGTCTGAAGTATTTCAGCGGGCCAGATTCTTAAATTGTCGATTCTTATTGGCTTATGGCGCGCTCATAACCGGTCCATCTTTTTACAATACAGACCACGGTCTGGAATATTTTCCGCACCATTCGCGGCAAAGTTGAAAAAAGCGAACCAGCGGCAAAAAAAAATGGAATAAGTTGTTTACCGGTCATGGTCGGTCCGTATGGGAAAAAAATGTGTCATCAGTCTCGAGACAGTTTTTTCTTTTTCCATATGGATCCCCCGCCCCAGGTTAATAATAGTCATTATATGCTAAAACAGTGGATAGCGTCGAAGGCGCGCTCTGATTGGCTACTCAAACTCCTAATATCCTTTGCTTTCATCTTCAAGAAATGCGCGCAGGATTTGCTTCCGAAAATATTGTAATCGTTGTAAGAATAAATGAGTTAAAATCATCTTTTTGTGCTATATTATATCACTGTTTTTTAGCAAACACTGTGACAACTATTCGCCTCAGTGTTGGTGGCTAACGGTGTCCACCCTTAGTCACCTCCACTTCGGTGAATACCAATTAAACATTTACGTCCAGACTACACGTCATACGATTTTGAAAAAAAGATGGCTGTGATGTAATAAGACATTTGGGGTTACTAGACTTAGAGAAGCTACGGGGTAACTTGAGGCGACGTAGACCATGGTTAATAACTCTTGTTGGTGTTGTTGCTTTTTGTGGTTGTTGTCGCTGTCGTCTTCGTTTGGTTGTTATTAATTTTATGTCGTTTATTTGCCAGTATGATGCGTTATCTGTTGTTTAACGCCAAGCTCAAGATGATGAAGGCAGGAGAGACGCAAGGCGTGGAGCTTTGTGATACGTAAGTCATTATCCGTTTCGGCCTGTGTGCGTTTTGTGACTTAATTGTGGGCTGATATTTGAATATTGTAAGAAATAGACAACTTTTTTGGAGAGACATGTTTCGGCATGCTTATGTCATCTTCAATCAATGAGTAACAGAACGTGAGTAATTATGTAACAGACAAGTAGATGAATAAAATATTTACAGTATGATGTAATACAAAAGTGGGTACTAATTACAACGTGACACCAAACATCAAAGGTGTGAACTAAAACGCTATGAAAGTGTTATAATGCTGTAATTGTTTGTTAAGTTCAGGTTTGATCTTGTTTATATAAAAAGCTTCTTTTTTGAGTTTTAAATCAATTGAGTTGTTAGCAGAATCCAGAATACTAAAGCAAGAAAGGGAGTATTTGTTCTTACAAGAAGGAGATGTGTTGAAATGCTTAAAAATATGCGAGTTTTTATCGCTTTCCGTGTGCTCCTAGTAGAGAAGTGGCGACTAGTTTCGCCAATATAACGGGAATTACATCCCGCACAAGAAAATTTATAAACTACCATGGATTTAGAGCATCAGGAGTACGATCTTTAACACTGAACATGTTTTTAATTTTAAAAGAAGTGAAAACTAGTTTGATATTTAGGTCCGATTTACAAAAGCGCTTAGTGAGTTGTCGGAGTTTGAGGTTCGCTATTTTAGAATAATAGCCGACAAAAGGGAGTTTAAAGTAACGTGTATTTAAAGTAACGTGTATTTAAAGTACCGTGTAAGTAACGTGAATGTTAAAAGCACTTATTTTGAGTTTCATCTGAAAACCTGTCAAGTACCGCTCATTTTCATTGCAAGCTATTACTCTTCGCTACAGGACTCAACTTCCTTCTAAGAAAATTATAGCTGCGTAAGCCGCACAAATAATGGAAAGTGCGGGGAAAGGGACAGACCTCGACCCCTTACAGTAGAGGTTTATAGTGGCTTCGCCTCATTGCAAGTTCGTCCCTTTCCACATTTACGAATTCGCCGTCTGTAGTAAAACAAGCTCGCCCTCTGGAATAAAACAGTTTGGCCCCCTGTAGTAAAACAAGTTCGCTCCCGGGTCTTTCGCGAGGCATTCCATAATGAATTCGTAACTCTTCCAAAGAACCACAACAAATATAATCATTTAATCAATTTTTGTGATCTCGTTTTGTCGAAAGGTATCTTGGTCATGTGGACTTGATGAAGTTTTTAGTGGAGTCTAACTGTGGTGACATTCCTTCACTGCGAGATCTCATGCGTCATGATTCAGCAAGGTGCGAAAATAGGGAGGGGAGGGTCCTTTTCTTTTGACATTTTCTAGGACTGGAAAGTCCTGGAAAAAGACTACAGGGTCTGGATAGTCCTGAAATTTACTTAAATGCAGCAATAATATTTTCAGAATTTAGGTTAGAAGAAATGTGTACAGACCGTAAGGGGGAGAATTGATTTTGAAATCTTGTGAGTGAAAGGATTAGAGGTGAAATTTGGAGTCCTGGGAAAATCAATCTGAGCCTGGAAAAGTCCTGGAAAATTCCTTGAAATTTGTTTCTGAAAAAGGGTACGAATCCTGTAGGAAGGTAGAGAAGAAATTCATAATGCAACCAGTGATGAGATTGAGGAAAAAAGGAGGTAGTGCATCAGGTGCATCTTTACTCTGCAAATGCTATGGGAATGGGTATTAGAGAGGGTATACACTAACCCCTATACATTGAAACAAAGGAGCGTCCCTCGGTAGATGGTATCGTGATGTGGTTAGGAAGGGGATGGAACCTTTTGGACGAATACCGTGGACTGAAATGGGAAACAATCTCCAGGCAATACGAGTACTTGAATAACTGTGAAGGCATCGAAGGAATAGAAGATGGTATGATTTCTAACTATGGAATGTAAAGAAAATCCTCGAGATATGTCTGCCAGGCGGATTTAACACAGCTTCACGTTGACTTCACAATTTCTTCCCTTTGACAGGCGTCTTCGTGACCGGTTCATTGAAGCAGAGCGGCTCTCACTAGCCATGGAAGTTTCTACAAAGTGCGGCCTTGATCCTTCAGGGGTGTGGGGTGCGGCAGGATTTGCTCTTCTCCAGGCCGGAGATTTCTCCGGGGCCCGAGAAAAATTTTCTCGCTGTATGAAGGTGGAAGAGCCTTTCTTAAACTGATTTCTTAAACTAAGGTTCAGAGCAGTTATGATAGGGGAATAAACGTTAATGTGCTGTTTGTTTTGTCATTTTAGTGCTTTTCTTAATAGATTTAAACATTGATGTTACTGTCCTCCCAAACTCAGATGCTTTTTCTAACAGCTGATGGCCATGAAACTGTCTGTATTCCATAAATTAGGGACTACTTAATTAATTCAAATGGATTAATAACAATCGTTTAAAAAAATCTTATCACCCTTTGAAGTCGAAAGTTAATCAATGAGACGAGAAACTTTACATTTCCCACCTATGCTTAGGTTTTGCTTCTGTCCGCTCTTTCCAGAAAATTTTTGCTACTCTCTTAACCACTGGTTCTGCCTTAGATGTTCCTCCTTTTTTTAGCCTGAAGAAGGAGGGAAACAACAACAACAGCATAACTCGCAGTATCTGGAAAAGATCATCGACATCTTACAGTCTTCTCCATTACTTGCCTACAGACAGGTAGGATTTAATTGGGGTTGTTGAAGTCTAACCCTTCCCCCCCCCCACGGGAAATATCCAGGGGTGGCCCTATGATGGGGGAAGTGAGAGGGAGAACGGCCATGAAAAGTTCATCTGAACTTTGTTTAAGTACGGCAGAGCAAATAAAACTGAATTTGTTATAGGTTAAAACTCCGTAAAACTTATCTGACGTTCATAGACAAGCTAATATGCAGTGCATTGTTTCTGAAATCAATTCCGCTTGATACCTGATGCCTTTGTTTTTTCTTGTAAGTGTTTATTATATCAATCTCAAAATTGACATTTATTTTCAGTCCACAGACGATCTCATGTCTCCGTTACTTGGACTCTTAGAACACAGTCGAGTAAGATAATTTTTATTAATGATTCTTACCTTCTGGTAATACTTTACAACGCAACACGTTTCGTAGAACAGAACGTCCCTGTTAAAAAAGGAGACAAAACGCGATTTGAAGCAAGCTAATTATAATTGTTAGGAGTCTTTAACAACTAGTTGACAAGAAATGATGACAGTACTGTCGATTATTTTTTGAATAATGGCTGATATGTTCTTAATTTTTCTACTTCTTTAATTGCTCTTAGAATTTCCAGAGTGGAAACTCGTACTTAGATCCCAAACGGTTCGAGGAGTGCCTGTATTATCTCCACAAGTATGGTAGCCCATCATCCCTTGTGGCGTTTTACGTCAGACACGGGCATCTAAAGCTGGCTTGCAGATACATCTTAGACCAGGTGTGAAAACGTTTCTTGCGTAGATAAGATATAAGTGAAGGTTGAGAAAAGTACGTCTTTTTCTCTTGTCTAGTGTGTTCCAAGTTAAACGCTTCCAAAACGCAGAGGTCTCTCATAGTTAAATGCTGGTACCACTGACCGACCTGCCGTGAACAATCAGTTGATATTACACTTAGAACCTATTTTTCTTCTTTCCTCAGCAATGTTCCGTGGAGGTATTTATAGAAAGTTTGTTTATGCGTCTCGTGATCAAAGGAAAATTTGCGCCGCTGAAAGAACAGATGGAAATTACAGATCCGACACTTCAAGCATGGATGCCTTATTTGACCGCAGCTTGCAAATTTTTACTTCGGAGAAGTTTTCACAATCTGTTATATGAAGTGCAGGTGTTTATGAGGGTAAGTTGCATGATCATACAACATTTAAAAGCGAAATCTTGTAGGAAAAAAATGTATTTGTATGTAGAGAGTGTGAGACCTAACTGAAATCTCTTCCCGTCTATGTTAAGGCTGTATCTATGAGCCTTTTGGGCTTGGAGTGGCGTGCTCAGAGAAATAGCACACACACACACACACACACACACACACACACACGCCCATGCACACACACACACGCACGCACACACACACACGCACATACGCGCGCGCTCAGCAGCTGTTAAGACTAAGAAACAAGCAATCAAGCAAACAATAGCATCCGTCCCTCTTACGAAGGGCTAGAGCTCGATACGCTTGCTTTAGAAACCCTTTACAGTGGTCAATCTACAATATCAACTCCACCATCGACGCAGCACCACAGTTTCTTTAGAAAATTTCCCAATGTAACCATAAGTATTAAAGGGTTTTTAGGCCGTCTGTATATCAAGCACTGCGCTACATTCCCCATTCGGAATTGCTGGATTACAAATTGACACTAATGAATCATTCAAAACAGCTCTATGGCTGAGAGCTAATTTGTAACCAGGCATGAGTTGGCGTATAAAAAAAACATAACAGTATCAGTGTTTGTTAACATTTACTCCAGGGTGTCCAATTCGGCCTGTCACTTTATCCTCCTCTCTCACAATCCGCCAATGATAGTTCGAATACAGATCCATATTTTTCACTTCCAGGATTTCTTTCGCGCTGCGCAAACTTGCATACGATTTTATGAAGGCGTAGCTGGAGGCCCCGTGACGTCATACGAGGACTTGTACTCTCGGATGCACTACCTCGAGGAAGCCAAACAGCACATTGAAACTGTGATCGCCGAGAAAAAATCCCCTAAGGGAACTGTAAACACGGTGTTCGCGTATTTACGCCAGCGCAGCACGGGTAGTGTGAAGAGTTTGACAGAGGAACCATCTCACTTGGCCATGTCATTGTCTGAGTTAAACAGTCACTTGAACACAATCAACCTACAGATAGAGGTCACTAACTTCATGCACCAGTGTGCAGTAGACAGAGGGGGACTAGGTCTGCTTCGGGCAAGCGAAGGGAGTCGTCTACCTACCTTGTTCGGAAATGGACATATAAGAGGAGATATGGTCGTGCAGGTAAACGTGGTTTTTTGGGTTTTTTATCAACTTATGTTTCGATTTTATTCGCTCTGATCAAGAGCTAACGCTCGAGACGTCAGCTTTAGAAATTCTTCACGATGGCCAAGTTTTATCATGGACTTCGTTGAAAAAAAAAATTATCTCGTAACACCCCGTTTCTAACGCAGCAACACAGTTTCTTTAGAAAGTTGCCCCTTTATTTCTCGCACTGATGTTTCCGCGTGTAGGTCTAGTTAACTCAGAGAATTCACTAAGATTTAGTGTAATGTCAGAAGATTTATTTGTAAATCTAAGACAAGAATTGATATGACCTTTCAAGAGCGTCAGTTTCTTATAACATTTCTTTATCATCGTACTTTGTTAATACTCTTTTAGGTTCTTCTTGCTGGAACAACAATTCAAAACGGTTTTAGTTTGGCGAGTCGAATAATTCAGGTTTGTTTCTGAATCCTGTCGTTGTTGTTAACAGTAGAAAGTCTGGCGAATCTTGGATTCTGACACACGTCTCAACTTCGTTTTAAAACAAGCACAAGATTACTATCAAAAGAGCACATTTCGGTTGAATGTCGCAAAACCAAGACCATAGATATCATGTCGGTCAATTAAAAGAGAGACAATTATGTGAAAGAATAATTACGCAAACGAAGGAAAATCAAGCAAACTACCTAAAGCGCTTTAGAATGCGAGTGAAAACGTTCAGATTTGTTCCGTTTTTACATCTGATTAGTTTACATGATGTCGCGAGTTCTGGACCAATCGTAGCGTTAAGTAAAGCAAAACTAATGCAACCCTAAATGAATAATTTCCTTGTGAGAGATTTTTTGTAGTCTGTTGACATGATTACCGTGTGCCTTACGTCTCAGGATTATAACCTTCCAGCGGCTCGCGTTTACGTGGACGCTGGCCGCTCGTTGGCTCGACAATACAAGTATCCACTCATTGAGGAACTTCTGCGTTGCTCGGGAGAGACTGGGCAAGTAACAGACAAATGCCACGATGACATCATTCTGGCATGTGTCAGCATCGTGGCGGCTGACCAAAGTCAGGTGGGCTCTGTTTTATCGTAGATGTGTCTATTGATCGTGTTTGTTTGTTTTAACGTTTGTTGGTAAATGTTTGAGCGTCTTTTCAAGTAGAATCGTAATCTCTCTTCGCAGGCAAAGTATCTAGAAGGACTCATAAAACATTTGAAGAGCGAAATCAACAAGGTACCATACCGTAAAGGAATAACAATTAACTTAGCGTTACACCATCGTCAGAGCGAATGGAGGAATTATGGGTGGAAAGATAGTCCATGCATGTTATCGCCAAGCATTTTTTTTTCTTTCTTTGTAATTTTATATCACCATACGCCCAAGGGAGATGCATACTAAAATCATTTAAAAAGGAAACACGATACATGAATCCCGGCGTTAATACTCCAAACCTGGTCCTGCTGAATTGGAGTTGGGTGCCCTAACCATTAGGTCAAAACAGCAGGTCGTTTCATCTCCAAGGCCCTATTTATATGGACCTGGGTACTCGAGACAATCCTCCCCCACGAGACAACTGTGCGGAGTGCTTAGATAGAGTTGTGAGTTGTAACAGATGTCCCCTCATCAGTCTCGTTTGAAGGCTAGGCAGGTTATATACTGGACAAAATGGTCTCCACTGACCCAAAACACAAAGGTTATGGAAACAATTTGAGCCGTTTCGTTTGGGGCAGGCGAAGTATTTATATGAAAAAAGGATTACCCTACCTGCCGAGGCCAGACAACTCGCCCTACCGAGTTTTCTCGCCCGCTAAGACGAGTTCGCCATTTTCTTGAAAACGGCTGGTTGAATTTTTCATAGAAATATGAGAAAGTTAACTCGGCCAGAGTAACTAAGGGAGAAAGGTTGTACATAACTTGTGCTCATAAGCTTTTTTTTTTCTCCATTTATCATTTTTTCTTTTTTCTTAAGATAAGTGCATTCATCATGTGCGGTAAGCTGAAATCCGCTTACCTGATCGCTGTTAAAGGTGTTCGTGTGGACGCCATTCGAGAAATCGCTGACGTGGCGGAAAAATCAGGTCAAAGCAAAATGGTGGAGATATGTCGCAAGTATTTGACACAGTTCGAGAAGCAGAAGGCTGCACAACGAAAACACGGGGCAGAATCAAACAGATAATGTCCAACTGAACTATTTGGTGGGTGATGTTGTGACCCATGCTATGAGGAGTGGGGAGAGTTTTTGACTGGTTGTTATGACCCCCCCCCCTCCCCCTCCTTAAAAAAGGCCAATCAAAGGAAAATAATTGAAACGACCAGACCGTTAGACCTTATAGCCAAAGAAACACCCATTAAACCGGAATTGAGCGTTGGACAAAGTATCATGTTTGGCTTGAATGTCCAGAACTTTTGGGATCAATATAGGAAAGAGGACAAAAAAGGCAAATTTTGTAGAGATATTTTTTACTCGTAAAAATTGCGGACAAAAGATAGGAAATTAACAATTGAGAAATATTGAGAAATCTATTTTCGTATATTTATTTTAGCTCATTTGTAGATCTTCGGTACATTGAAATTTATAAAAATTTAAATGTATTAAGTTTTGGAAACCATCAAGTGGAGTTAAATTCGTGGTTATGGCATGTCAGTATTTTGACGTGGGTTATCTCAAATATTCATCACGACAAGAAGTACATTCAAATGATGAAGAAGTGAACGAATGCTAGGTTAGCAGTCAAGGTGAACGAGAGAATTGGTGGCTATCATTCAGAGATTTTTCTGTTTCTTCATTAAAAATCAAGGCAGAGAATAAAATGAATGGGATGTAAATAAAATGACAAGTAGTTTAACAATCGAACGGAAATTTGTGGTGGGGGGAGGAGGAGGAGGAGGAGGCCTCACCCCTACCCACCCTCCCCCATTTCTTTTGTGCCCAACCGTGTTTTGAGTGGTAATTTTCAAAGTGTTTCTTTTTGTTTCTTTCTTTCGTTTTGTTTTGTTCTTTTTTAATTTTTTGTTTTCGCTCTGACGAAGGGCTAACGTTCGAAACGTCAGCTTTGAAACCCTTTACAGTGGCCAATTTACATCGACTCAGTTGATGAAACCAAATAACCTTGTTACCCCCACCGCCCCAGCGCTATAGTTTCTTTTGAAACTTGCCCACCTTGTTCAAGGTAAAGACAAGGTGGGCTACTCATTCTGAGCTGATCACTCAAACATCAATCCAGAACCATGGCCATTGGTAAATTCGAATCCAGAAAACGTAACGTAGCTGGAGCGAGGAATTCTAACTTTATTGAATTCCCGTTCTTATTTATTCAAGCTACATTCCAGCGCCGGTGGTGGCATCGATACCAATTCTTATTAAAGATTACTTCGGTAAATTTGACTATCAAAAGGAGAAAGGAAGGTCCGCAGCCCCCTAACCCCAGCCTGTGAGTAGTGCATGTTAAACTTTCAGAAGGCTTAAAAAAAATGTAGTTGTTAATTGTGGATAAAATATTTCTTTAAATAAAGTAATGTTTGAGCGCTGATTTGCTGGCTTTGTTAAACAAAGAATGGAGGTCAGCAAGAATTGTCTGAGAGTTTTCCAGCCCAAATCTGTGGTGGTAATCAAGATGTACCCAATGTCCCTAATACGTTTCTCTCCATTATCTGACTCCGACGATGTTCCGTTACCACACGTATTACCGAGATCAGGATATCCTGCTGTACCAAATCCGATCCGCGAATTGCAGTATGAGCACTGTTTGATGTAGTAAGTAAGTAAAGTCTGTTTACGAGCCTAGTGGCCCAATAGGCCGGTGCTTAACTCCGGTTTCTGTAGCATGAAGCGACTAGGAGTATTTCTACTCCCCCCTGGATAGGATGCTAGTCCATCGCAGGGTTACCCCCAGCATTAAATTGCCAGTACCCATTTATACACCTGGGTGAAGAGAGGCACTGTGAGAGAAAAGTGTTTTGCCTAAAAACACAACACTATGTCCCGGCCGGGACACTGTGCACTGTTTGACGTGGTTGCCAATAATATCAATTCTAGCTTTGGAATACTGGTTTCGGAAACAGCGAGCATTGAAGCCTTCCTTGTTGCATTTGAGCTGTAAAGAAGTCTGTGAACCAATCACCCAGTGAGGTTGGGCGGTATTGCCCATCAGCGATCAATGAGTACAAAGAATCGGCCGTCTTGTCAATCACAATGAACTTGAGCTGTTGTCCAATCTTCATACCGAGACAGATCTTGGAGAAGGGTGTGTTCCAGTAGGTGGGTAGCTTTGCCTACAGTTCGTCAAACCCAGTCTCTCCTCCGGGAAGGTTGTATTTCCCGTAATCCTCCCAATGATGCGAGTTAAAATAAAAAGTTCCCTGAAAAAGAGTATTAAGTCAGTGGTTGACTTCTGTGAAAACTTTTGGCAAAGTCACTCCTAAATTTTGATTTATTACATTCATTTCGAAACCACTTATACTTCTTTCCCTTTTATGTCTTCTCAGCGGTGCGAAATATTTACGAATCGTACTTTTTACGCTCTAAATTGCATTTATCTCTTTCTCAGAGAATCAAACTGATTTCAGATTTAGTAAAGTAAGTAAAAGCTTTATTAAGTTGTCGATGTATTTAGTTTTCACAACTAATTGGGGATACAAAAAAGAGAAAGAAATGAGTAAATTAATAGATAAGATAAAATAGAATTATTTACAAATAAGAAATTATGAAGGATGTATATATGATTTATATGAATAACGTACATTAAAACAGAAGGTATATAAAAGATGGTCTCTGAGAGTTGCACGGGTCACAGCAGCTATTGTTGTTGTTTAGAAGTGACGCTAGGTCTTTTTTCCTAATGTTCTTTTTCAAAGATTCAATATTCAGGGAGCCTGAGAAGGCTCAAGAAATGTGATTTAGGTATTCTGATATCGCACTATTTAAGACCCAAATCCCCGCCTTAATTAGGTTATTTAGCTGTGTGATTTCAAAATGGATGATATGAAGTGCGGCGATTGATGTTCGTGTCGTACAATTTTAATGTTTATCCATACTGTCCTGTAATGCCATAGGTTGGATTTCAGACCAAATCGCCTAGAACTTCTTCAATCAGAAAATTTTAAATTTGAGGTTAATTGTACAAGGGAACAAGCCGGTCGCGTTCACCTTGCTCATCTCGACTTCATCAGTAATAAAAGGGGCTAATAATCAGAGCAAACCTTCATTGACCTTAATTGAGTAATGAGAGTAATCTGGTTCACAAGCTTGTTGGCTAAAACTAACTCCAAGTTGAAACTAGTCACTCGTGTTTCCCAACGCCTCAGGCAGTGTACGCGTCAACTCCTAGTTCTCTTTGTCTGCTTATAATTTTCTTGACTTTCTCCTGATTCGCCATTGTGATCAGTTTGGCTATGGTTTTACGAGACTCAATCGAAAGGCGTTCTAATCCCTAATCATTTCTCGAAGAAAGCGATTTCCTTTTTTTAAGTAGATACTATCGTCACCATCATCATTGTCGTCGTAATCCGCTTCATCGCCATTATCATCGTCCTCTTTACCGTCATCGTCGTCGTCGTCGTCGTCACTGTCTTCGTCGTTATCGTCGTCCCAATCATCATTAAGGCTGGTTTTCATTAGCGACGGAGTCGTAGTCGGAGTCGTAAGAGTGTTTATGACCTAGTGAAAATCGAAAAACGGAGTCGTAAGCGGATTCATAAGGTCGACAGTACCGGAGTCGGAAGAATTAGAACGTTCCCATTTTCTTCTGATTCCGCTTATGACTCCGTCGCTTACGGTCTAGTGGAAACTGCATTTTCGGAAGCGGAAGCGGAAGAATAAACCAAACACAATGCTCGATTCCAGGTCCCCGAAAGTACAAACTTTGGCGCCAAAGACAACATGGCTGACGAAGAGTAACTTTGGCTGTTATTAATCATTATTTTGCGCAGGCAGAGACAATGCAGGAATAATATCGTTCGAACAAGAAAGCAAATTTGGGTTCGTGATATCTATCGACTTCGAGCAGCCTAGGAAGAGTATGCTAACCTCGTCAGCGTACTACGACTTGGTGATCGTGAATCGTACTTTCGGTAGGTTCAGTTCGAGTATTTTAACTTTTAATTTCGTAATTTTAACGTCAAGCTCACACGATTAAATTTTTCCGTCGACTAATAGCGAATATCTGCTGGAGCTCAAACAATCTCTGTCACATGAGGAATTGAATACCCCACTTTTTCTCTGTGGTGACTTTAATTTTCCTGATATCAACTGGAACTATCAAGGAGCTCCGGGCTTAGATAATCTTCCAAATATGTTTTGCGATATCGTCAGTGACACGTTTCTAACACAGATGAATCATTCCACAACAAGAATCACAGATAACGCAGAGAATATTCTTGACCTCGTTTTTACTAACCAACCCGAACGTGTATGTGAAATGGAGACATTCGAATGTCAATTCACCACGGATCACCTTGGAGTCGCTTTCTTTATTAAAACCAAAGTCAAAAGAGAGCGTGTTGTTCGTTATGCATACGACTTTAAGAAAGCTAATCTTGACACGCTGAGACAAGCACTCTCAGTTACTTCTCTAGACATGGGATTTGATGAAAGTGATGTTGATCAATGTTGGGAAAGTTGGCGTGATCTATTCTTGAATGCCGTTGAGTCATATATACCCTTCGTCGTCGTGGTTGCTTAAGCTCCCTATTATTTATCGTTTATTTTTAAATTTTCCCATGCACTTCTTTAAAAATTGCAGTGATTAGAATAAAGCGACTTTTTTAGTGGGTTTAGATCTTAGAGGTTCTTAGATACATTCAGGCTTCGTGAATCTCAGCAGAAGCACATACAAGTGAACCAGAAGAATTAGACAACAAAAACTAAACCAAAACTAACAAACGAATGAATTAACAAAAAAGCAAATGCACCTTGTTGCCGTGAATCTTCTTAACCGCCGTCCATCCTCCAACTCCGCATCCAAAATCTCCCATGTGACTGAGAACGGAGGTTGGCCCTGCGCCAATATGAAGGGTAACCAGTTGGCTGACATTAGACCTGTTAACCGAAGTTGAAAAAACCTCATTAACACATCAAACAGATGGAGTTAACTATTATATATGTACGCTTCGAATAATGACTTGATGTAGTCCCAGCATAACGAATGATTCGTAACCTGCTATGAATATGTTTTCTGTACGTAATCTCCTCGCCCCAATCTCCTCTATTGAAGAGCAGCCAGGCTTACTCTTCAGAACTTCTTTGCATGAGGAGGAATGGGGCAAGGAGTCGGCTGAATTTCTCGTCAGGAATAAATACTGGATCTTTCTCCCTTACGACTTTTCGTTATGCTTTGCGACTTATTCAAGAATATTCGTGTTTCTGACAAAAATAAATTAGGCCCCACCCTAGAGGGATAGCCAGGTGATAGAGGAGAAGAATGCAGTATCTTTCAGTTATTCTCACCTTAAGTCTTTTCTGTAGCCAAATAATTACTTTTGGGCAAGTGTAGTTTTTGCGATCCCAACTTGGTCACCTTCTGTCTACGTTTCTACCTCATAATTCATCTTAAGAATTTAATTCCAAAATGAATTGGCATATTTATTATAACTGAATGTAGAACACTTTACTTTTCACCTTCCGTACAAATATCGATCCTGTAACATTTCAATCTACCCATTTTTAAATAACAGAATTTTCTTACCTGCAAATTCCCGAAAATTTACGATCCCATTCTAGTAATTGTATTAAAAATGCAACCAAATTATGATCAACCCAGTCGTGAAAATGCGACTCCATCCAGCGGCCTTTCCGCATCAGCGAATAATTAGGAAGTCCCCTCCCCCATCCCCCCTGGTATTACTTACAACAGCTTGATAATAATGTTGCTGCTCAGATCCAAGAAACAGTTTCAAAAGGATACTCACATATGGACGTCGTAATGTTCCTTGCAAGATTTTATTTCTTTTACTGAAAGACAAAAGAAATTGTTCTCCACCTTTAATTGCTTAAATTGTCTTGCCAAACTTTTTTC